AGCGACCCTGGTGTCTCCCCATTTGCCTTTTGAGTCTGCTCTGTGTCCTTTTACTGCAATGGCTTCTAGCCACAGAGGTGACTCTGCTGAGTCCTGGGAGTCCTCCCAACCAACCAGCAAACTTGGGGGTGCTCTTAGGAGCCCCTTACCATAGACTTGCAGAGAGGGACAAGTCTTTACAGAAAGAGGGTTTCAGCAAATCAAGGAGAAGATAAGCCTGCTCACCTGGGCCCCTTCTGCCTTTCCAAGGTAAAACTCTTTCATACCAACTAAAGAGTACCCATATCATTAAATATCTAGCTGACCTAAAATACAATTCTTCAATTCAGTTACGCCTCTCTTCTGGAATTAAAAAAGAGAAATTCGTTTCTGTTTTTTTTTTTTTAAGATCAAAATACCTCTCACCCAAGGAAGAAGTGTTTGATAATATCTCTACCTCACACTTGCTCACAAAGTCACCAACAACCCTGGTGCATCAAGTCCTGATCTGGCAAGTCTCGTAACCCCCACTCCTTTGCCCCAGGACAGGGGCCCGACCTGTGCCCAAAGCTGGCATGGAAGACCCTGCCTCCCTGTGCCACAAATGCTCCAGACAGCATGGCTAGGCACAGCCAGAAAGACTTACTCTGTGTGAGGCAGCCAAACTGTGGAGAGGGAGGGATAGTCATATGAAAATGTAGCTTCTCCCCTTAAGAATTAGTGCCCCCAGGTCTGAACTGACCCACAGTGATGAGACCCCACCCATTACGAGGCCTGCACACCCCAAAGCCCCCCTCTAGTGTCCTAGACCAGGATCTTCTCTTGGAGGCTGTCCCTATTTCTCTGTGCTGTCCACTTTGAAGACGACCAAGAGTGGGCAGTCCTCACAGTGCTCACTCACACCGAGACTGGGAATGCCAGGCCCACTCAGCAAGACAGGCAGGAGCCCAGCACTGACCGCCAGTGTGGGGGTGCAGGCCCTCACCATTCGAGGATGTTTGAAGGGAGGGGCTCAGCACAGATATAAGGCACCGGGTCCTTCTTGATCCGAAGGTAGTCCTGCTTCAGTCTCTGGGTGGCCGTCGTCGGAGCTCTCTTACTGCTGGTGCTGCTCATCTGTAAAGAAGAAGTGGACAGGTGACAAAGAGCAGGAGGTCTACCTCCCCACACCTGAGAAGCGCTGTACCATGGTTGATTTTCTAAAGTCGTTTCTTTATTAGCATTCATCAAGCCCCTAGATCCTAACATACACATTTCATGTCAGTCACCCAGGACCAAAACCTCAAGGAGTGCCCTGACCACCCACCAATGACCTCCACCCCTCACACACCCCTGTGTGCCCTCCTTGTTGGTCTCAGACCTCCATCTCCACCTTCATTAGGCAATAGAGATTTAGAGCACCTGGCAGAGACCAGACAGAGAAATAAGTATGACACACACTGCAATTCCTCCATTGCCTTGGAAGAACTTAAGTGGAATTGTTAGACCTAAGATGGAAAGGGTCCTGAGCACGTGTATGTGTGTGCACGTGTACGCGTATGTGTGTGCACACGCACGCAGAGAATGATGGTGCTAAGGCTAGCCCCAATGTGAAGCAGGTTTGCATTTGCCCAGCGCTGTGTGTGAGGCCACACTGATGGGTCCTGACACCCTGAACACGCTGTCCAAAAGTACATGATGGTCACAGGCAGAAGGGATGGGGAACAGAGCAGAAACCCCTCTAAGGAGTAAGCCCTGAAAGACTGAGGCCTGCTCGGGGTCATGGAAGATGGAGTCTCAGGTGTTTGTGAAACTGGTCAGCGTTTCAGTGCCATAGCAGACACCAGGACTGGGCTTCGGCTGCTTGGGGGCAGGGCCCAGTTCACCCCGTGGGGGCTGCACCTCTCCCTTGAGGTGCTGATGTGCCCAAGAGGGTCTTGGGTCAAGTCTTCTGTTAGAAAGGTCACCGTGGTGTTTCAGCAGAAGACAGACAGGCAGACAGATGGGACAGCACTAGCAGGACAGTATCCTGAGTCAGGAGTGAGGCAGTGGCCTGGATCGGACAACCCAGGGCCCTCAGCTGCACTCCAGAGGCTGACAAGAAGAACAATGATGGGAGAGAGTTTTACACACTGGAGTCTCTTGTAATCTAGGGTAGAAAGGAAAAACTCCTCTGCTGCTAAAAATAAAGTGTGAAAACTGCCACTCAGACATGGCAGAGGACAGAGCTATGCAGGGACATGTGGGGACCAAAGGAAGGAAGGAGCAGGGATCAGCAACATGGCCTGCCCCAGACTGGCTGTTGCAGACCTCCTGCCACCTCAATGCTGGCCTCTCCTCCCTGTGCCCCCACCCCCTGCCACTCAGTACTCCCCAATGCCCCACAGTGTGCTCTGGTCATCAGTACCAGGATCCCCATCTGGACCTCCTGGTCAGTACAGCCTGGTGGTCATTCTCTCTCTGGCCACAGGGCCTGCATACCTGCAGTTTCACATACGGCCATATTCTGGTTCCTTTCCCCCCTTCCATCAATCCTCTGTACCCCTGATCAGCAAGTCTCTGGACTCCTGGCCCTTTCACCTGGTACGTCTCCCTCTTCACAGCACTCTTCTAGTCAGTTTCCCTGAAGAGAATGCCAGCCTGAGGGGCACAACAGCCTGCTCACCTGTTCCCAAGACCCAGAGGGTGGGCCTGGTCCTCCCTTCACCCTTCTTCCCCTTCCCACTCCAATTGTGCTCAAGACCACATCCACCTCACAGCTGATCTCCCAGCTTCCAGATTTTTCCAATCTTGTTCTGGTTCGTACACTCAAGTCAGAATAACTTGCCCCACACAGTTCTGGTTTGTCATCTCCTCTGCAAAGTCCT